GAATGTCTCTTGAAGAGAAGGGATCGTTGATTCGTTCAAGAACTGTGATCTGATGGAATCAAATTCTGGTCGTAGACTACTCAGAAAGCTTATGACAGCAATTTGCTCCCTTTGAGTCTGCATAGCTTTCACATCAGTGCTCAAAGGAAGGAGAGAATTCATCTTCTCATAAACCTTCTTGAACTCCATGGCATAGGTCATAAGAGAACGATCCTGTTGTTCCCCACGATGAAATGCCTTACAGACACTGTAAATTCGTGAAATGTTGCTTTGCCCAGAATACAGGAAGTCAAGATAATCTATTAACTCCTTCACATACTCACAATGACTGACCAAAGTTGAGACCGAAGGCTCAATAGAGTTAATAATCTGCAAGAACATACGAGCATCTTGTTGTAACCAAAGGTCATGATTACCGTCAGTAGGAGGGTCAGAATCTAGATGAGAAGCCATTCCCATACTTCGGACATACAGACGGACCGTTTTGATCCATTCAAAGTAATTAGTACCGTTAAGTTTATTATCGGTAACTCTACCACTCGTCGGGATCAATTCAGGTATACGAACACTGCCAGACGACTTGTCATCGGACGACTTGTCATCGGACGACTTGTCTCCATCTTTAGCCATCGGAGATGGAGCGGATGAAGATGGCGACCTTCAAGAAGCAAGAAAAAGAAGTTGGGATGATGCTGGAGGCGGCTGGCGGCACGTGGGGCGGCGGACAGCGACTGGAAAACACCGGGTCGGTCGTCTGAGTCAGCGGCGGCGGTGCAGCGACAGCGGCAGATTCCTGCGAGCAGAGGCGGCAGCGGCAGATTCCGGCGAGCAGAGGCGGCAGCAGCAGATATGGCGGCGTCTAGGGTTCAGGCGACAGTGGCAGGAGTCCGGCGAAGTCGGCTAGGGTTCTGGCGAAGTCGGCTAGGGTTCCGGCGAAGTCGGCTAGGGTTCCGGTGACGACGGCAGGAGGTTTTCAGAGTGGCTCTGATACCATGTGATCAGAGGGACAGAGAGAAGAAGTATTCTTATTTACTGAATGAATAATTACAAAGGAGAGGCGTGTATATATAGACACAAATAAGAAACCCAAACCCAAATAAGCAAAGGCCCGTACGGCCCAATAGAAACCCTAAACAGACATAATATATTTACAATATATTCTAACAAGCTTCAAGCCTTTTCTGATTCTCATTGGAACCAAAATCTTCAAGCTTACTCAGACTCTGACTGGGCTGGTTGCCCAATCGATCGTCGATCCACGGGGGGATATGCTATCTACTTAGGCTCGAATCTTATTTCTTGGTCTGCTCGCAAGCAGAAAACTGTCTCTTGATCTTCAACAGAGTCCGAGTATAAGGCCATTGCAGATACTGTTGCTGAGTTGATTTGGCTGAAGTCTCTTCTTCAGGAACTTGGATTAAATAGCAAGGCTCCTACTCTTTGGTGTGATAATCTTGGCGCAACATATCTCACAGCTAATCCTGTCTTTCATGCCCGTACCAAGCATGTTGAAGTAGACTATAACTTTGTTCGTGAACAAGTTACTCAAGGGAAACTAATTGTCAAGTTCATCTCTACAGACGACCAAATTGCTGATATTTTTATAAAGCCCCTGCCTTCTCAGAAGTTTTGAGTTTCTACGGTCCAAGTTGCAGATTGCTAACCGCGCTGAACTTGCGGGGGAATGTTAGACTAAGTCAACTAGTCTAGTTTATATTATTAATATTGTCTAGGGTCCAAAGTGTAATTAGTTTTACCTATATAAGGTGTATCAGATTATTATTATTTTTCAATCAATACAATCAATATCAAGTTTTATATCAGGGAACTCTATGTTTTAGTCCATCGCCCTGTTGTACTTTATCGTTGTGTGCCACTTAATAATACATATTCTTGAGAACCACTCTTTAGGTAAGTTATTGATATCTAAGGGATGCAATATTGAAGTGCATTTCAGAAACTTAAATAAATAATTAGAAGACACAGGTCAAGAGAATATCCGCATTCTCTCTCGAGCAACAGGAGTTCAAAGAGTGTATTAAATATCCCTCTATAATGTGAAGAGAAGATACATTAATAAATAATATAAGAATACTTACTGTGAATTCCGCATCCGGGGAATATATTCATATAAAGAAGTAAGAGCTCCTCCATGTGCTATACAAGCTCTCCTTAAATGAACGGGTAGATCTCCAATATCTTTCATAGAAGCTAAGTTCCCAATAAAATGGGAAAGGACATCACCAAAATGTTGTGAAGCCTTTATGACATATGTTAGCATGTTAGACACCATAATACAAGACCGATGATAGCTATCTTTACTGATGAAATAAACTTCAAGGAGATAAGAGCAAAAAAGCATTTGATTGGAGAGACTTAAAAGGTATGAGTTCACAGCACCTCTTTAGCAAATTCAGTTGGCAGAATGTCGATAGCTAAACATATTACACCATCACCCTCAGTGTCTTCATGATAAGAGTCACGGGATGGGTCATATCTAACAGCCAAAAAAGCAAACCATTATCAAGACCGACAAAATAAAGTACGTATTTGGACTCCACGATAACAAGATATGTTTAAGCAATGTACTAATTGAAGAAAAAGAAGAGAGTGTAAGATGCAAAGACAAAGTATCAATAATGTACTCTTTACATATGCTTAGTTCTGTTAGAACAAGAAAGCAAATAAAAAGAATTTTTTTCGATGTCATGAAAAATTACAATTATTACATAAAGTTTTATGTAATAATCATTATTATGAGCTAATGGTGTTGATTTAGTAAATTTAAATATCTAATAAAAGTTCAAGTAACTTGATTAAATTATGTGTCAAATAAAAAATTGCAAGTTTCTTAAAACGTAATGTAAAATGTACGTGGTTGCTTATTAATATCATTACAAGTACAACAACAAAATCACAACCACCAAAAATAACATACCATAAACATTGGAATATTCAATTATTTGAGATCTTATTCAAAATGAAAGCAACCGAATTGTATTTTTCAACGGTCAACAATGGCTATAGAAAGCAAATGATCAGGCATGAGCAACCAATTTCAGTATCAAATTATCCGAGGGAACATATCTATAAATCAACGAAGTCAATAATATATAGTTTTCCCCATAAGCCAGGGGCCAAGACAATTAAACTCACACAAGATATACAATTATAATATTCACATGATCCCTCGACAAACACATGAACAAATTGTTTATTTTCGTCGTGTGTAATGCCCCAAGCCCAAAGCAGCAGGATGGCCCAATAACTTCTAGTTCAACTTAACACCACGGTGGAAGTTATTGGTGGCCCACAACTTTGATGTTATAAACAGCTCAAAAATCTACTTTCCTATTCATGTGGGACAAATTGTTACAAACCCTCCACTTAAATTCCTATTGTCAGTCTTCCTAGAATCCTCCTTGTAATTGGCGAAGTGGGGTTCGTCTAAGATGTTACAAATACCCCCCCCCCCCCCTCATCATGC